CTACGGTGAGATTCTCCCAGAAAATGCAGAATGAATGGGAAAGAATGATGCTATAAATATTTACTGAGAAGATAACTAGGGCCCTGCGTGCTGGGCCAATTATGATGTACTAAATATATTAGCAAAATGCTTAAAAAATTGGGGAGGATTTGTGTGGGTCTTAGGGTAGGTTGGTTTGTTTTGGAAAGTGAAATAAAAGGCGTGATGTTACTGTCTTGTCAGTTTTATTAAGCCGGAGTCACAATGGCAAACCCAGGGAAGGACACATGAAACCCACATTAATGCAAATTAATTCGTTATGAGTTGCAGAGCTGTGACTGCTAAGTGGAGTAATGATAGGGCATCATTTTAAGAGTGTTAATGTAGCAACTTTTAATGAAAAATGCTGTGTTAGGAACATGTCTCAGCACCTTAGCCCACGTGTTCTTATATGCTAGAAATGCATTTCATACAAGAGCAGGAAACTTGATTCACTTCATACCCCCCCTCCCCCTGTTTAAGAACTTTAATTATGTTTTGATGTTTAAAGAAAATCTTCTGGTTTTTCTTCAAAAATCAGCCCAGAAATGCCTATCACCGGAACCAAGTTCAACTTTTCTTTCTTTTTTTTTTTTTTTTTCATTAGATTGCAAAACCGAGAAGAAAAAAAATGTACGTACCCCCCCCCCCCCCCCACCCTCCACCCCCCCAGAGACCTACATCTATAACTTTCTTGAAGTCATTTTTTTCCCTTCTTTTCTTTCGTGGAGGATTTTGGTCTCAGGCAATGTTGCAAGTCTTCTTTCCCCAAATGCGAGTAGGTGGATGTGTATGGAAGCTGTAAAAGTTAATGATCGTTCTCTGACTCATAGCTGATGGTTTCAGGTTGAGGAAAAGAAAAGAAAAATTAATGAGGGTAAATAGACCTTGGATGGAACATCGAGACAGTAGGAGAGATTGTTCCTGTGTCTAAAGGCATGCGTTTTGTTGCAGCAGAATTTCTGAAGGAGAATGCCAGGAAGTGAAAAGGGGATGCCTTTGTTAAGTTGTTGTTTTAGGATGGTACAAACGTTCAGTGTTGAGATCTGGGGAGGAATGTTTAAGCCGCTATGCCTACCAGTCAGTGCTGGTTTTGCTTTCCTTGCGGAAGTTAGAGGCTCCCTGGGCACTTTTTGGAAGGGCAGTCAGTAATCCAGAGTCCTGGTCGGAAGTTTATTTCCCATTAAATGGAATAGGTTTGTCGCATAGGACAAGGGGTGCTGTCTGGGTCCTGAACAATGACCGATGACCTAAGAAAGACTCTTAGATGTATGAACAGCAGCAAATGTATGCTGTCTTTTAGGGTAATGATGTGGGAATTAAACATCAGGCAGCTCCTGGTGGGAGCTACAGAGTAAAAGTGGACCCCAAATCCCCCAGGCCAAAACCTTTTAAAAGGGGAATAAATCTGGATTTTTTTTTTTCTTGAAATAAGAAAGAAAGCCAGGTGATTCATAAAACCGAAAATAAAGCATAGGCTCCACCTCTTCCCAATTTAGTGGAATGAATAGGTCTAAAAATTTAGTCTTTATCGCACTGGAAATTCACTTAGTGTTGGAAAAACCAGCACAGCATTTAAATTACTTTCTATTTAGTCCCCTTTGCGGGGGAGACCTCTGTGGTTGTGAAAGCAGTTTTCCTTTTTCTCATCTCTGGATATCTCTGATGTCTTGTATCTGAAACATCAAATTAAGAGCCGGTAGTAGTGATTAGAAATAAAACAAGAGACATCAAGATATGGTAATAATATGGGAAGGAGTTAATTGTCAATTGTTGGTTTTTTAATTGCTGGGGAATTGTGCAAGCATGCGCCAAGCATCACCCCATCTTCGTGGTTCTTCCCCTGGACAAGTGAGGGCCAGATCATCTGGGGGTGTTCGGGTGGGTGGGTGGACTTGGCCATTGTAGACAAGCACACAGGAAGGGAAGGTTTATTTTGTTGCAAGTTTCACGGGAAGGAATTAACTGGAAAGGGCCCTGGAGTTCTCATTTGGTGGCGTCCTGGGATGCCCCAGGGAGGCGCCATGACGGGGACATGGTACATGTCCATGGTGTAACAGCTACGCTTGCTGGTGGAGGAACCTCGTGACGGAAGGAAGTGACGCGGGCTGCTGCAGGTGACCCGGGGCAGGGCGGGCCCAGGGGTGGGGGCCTGTGGCAGCCTGGTTCTTGAACTCAGGTGAGCCTTGTGCTGGATCTCTCCACCTCCCTCCCTTCATCTTCCGGAAAAAAAAAAAAAAACCAAAAACAAACAAAAAACGCCATCTCTTGTCCTTGCCTTCCTTAGAGGTTTTTTACAGAGAGAGAAATAAATTCTTGCTCCAGTCCCGAGTGCCAAGTTTTTCTGGGTCCTTGTATTTTGTCTTTGTCTTAAAAAGCTAGACCATAACGAACAAGGCATCTTTGTGTTTTACGGAGAAGCAAAAAGCTTTAGAAAGTCTGTGCTTAAGAAACTAGTATTTGGGAAAAGAGGTGATGGAAACCCAAAGGAGAAACAAGAAAATTCTAAGTCTTTGTCGCTGTAGCTCTGGGAGGTTTAGCTCCAGGTGGGTCCCAAGACAGTGATTACTGGCTGGGAGCGAAGATCTGATTGGAGGTTGTGCTGTGTGTATTTCTGAGCTGGTCGGGGTGGTTCTGTGTGGCTGGACACCTGAGCAGGGAAGTCACATTACTTGGGGGTGTTAGGATGGGGTGTGTGTGTGTGTGTGTTAAATTAACTTTGTCCAGCTAGATTCCTAAGGACCTCGCAGCTGCATTTTTACTCTTTTAATTGCAGCATTCTCTCTGGGATTGTGTTGTCTGGGTGGTGATTGGACGCGAGGATTAAGAATGGAACCGGACAAGTGAAAATTGAATTTGGATTAGCCACAGTTTCATTAATTTATTCATAAGACTGTGATTATATGAAATTTTGTTTCCACGACATATCCTGAGTTATCAGGTGTCCATTCAATTTTAATTGACAATCTGAGATTCCTGTGGTTACCCTGAGTACAGATTGCCTAGGGGCTCTGCAGGGTTTGTGGGAAGAAAAGCTTGGACAAGTTTCCATTAAGCTCTGAATCAGGCAGTTGGAAAAGAGGAGAATAAAACCCTGCTGAAAAGGGGGACACGTTGTTACTGTTGCCTCTTGACTTAGAAGGAGAACCCCACCCCTCCTCCCCAAGAGCCTCTCTCCAGCCAAGAATTCCAAACTCGCAGAGGAACCTGTCCCTAGCACAAAAGTTGTTTTAAGATGATGGGGAATTGTCACACAAATTAGCGCAATCACTGTTTCCTGACTGGCAGTTTTCACAGAAAGGGCAGGGGGGCAAAGTGTGCAATTTCATCTTTCTTTTTCTGCGATTCACTTCAGTGAACTGTTTCTGAGTGTGTTGGGGGCGGGGTGCAGGGGGCATTATCTCCACTTGCTCTGGGTTCATCTTGTGTTGTTTTGGGGAGTGCGGTTCAATCACTGCGCTTTGACAGGTAAGAGAAAAAAAAATATTTTTTGGCCTCCTCTGTATCGTGCCCCCTTTCAACCTTGATTAATATGTTTTGGGGGCAGGCGGACTCATATGTAGACAGTGTTTTGACTGTTTATCTGGAATAGATAAAATGACCTCAGAGCCCACTGTATGCCAAAGTGGGGACTTAGAGCCTTTTCCATGAGCAATAAAAATGTAGACTTTTAAAATTTGATCACTTCTGTGTTGTGTTTATTTTGAGTTGGTTCAAAAGTTCTGTGAATTTCTTTGTTTTTTATTTTTTTATTTCTTTTCTTTTTTTTTTCCCCCAAAAACCTGTGTGGACTGAATGATTTTTCATGCAAGGACCAAGATAGAAAATGATCGGATCTGAAGCCCCCTTGCAAGCTAGGTTACACTTTGTCGTGATAAGAGAGAAGTGTTCTGGACCAGAGCAGGAATAACAGTAGGAGTAGCGGTGGTTTGGAATCTCACTGATGCCCATTGCCATGAGAGGAATGAGCAGCGATTTCCCAGGGCCATCTAATTCCTCCTCGTTTGTTCCTATATTGCAGATTGAAATGCATTTTCAGATACCGTTGAGATCCTTTAGTGATTGTTGTCTTGTTTTTAAGATAAACCGGCAGATGGTGTCTGTTTTGCCTATCTGTAGGATCCCAGGGCCAATGAGTATTTTTTGGGGAAAGGAGAACTTGGTGGGGAAGCTCAGCATTCTGTCCTGTTTGGGGACGCCTCACTCTTTGAGGAAGAGTCTGTAGGGTTGCAGGGCGAAAGGCCCAGGAGGGACATCACCTTGTTGTGCAGAGTCTGAGGGAGCCAGGGACCAGCATTCACCCAGGGGCCACTGATTGTGTGGTCCTTAGAACACTCCGTGGCTCTTTGGCCCTGGCTGGCTCCCTTTTTGGGGAAGTGTGGATTCCTAGAGTGCAGGCTATAGAGGTGTTCTGGGCCTGATAGCTTAGTCATTGCAAGAGAATGTATTAAGGCTTCTGGTGGCCCCTGAATGCTGCCTGCCACATTTGTTTTCCCCAAAACAGAATTGTGTTTAGGAGCAAGAGTCCAGTGGTTAGAATGGTGGGGAGCTTGTACCTGTTGTAGTCTCGTGGTTGCTCACAATCCTTTCTCACAACCTTTCCTCTTGCCTACATGTCGCAATTCTGATGACTTTTTGCAGCACACAGTTAATTTTTCTGCAGCATCCTGCTCAGCACACTAACGTCCTTTATGTTTTAATGGGCATCCGTCTTTCCTTTTCATGTCATTGATTCTCACTCCTGGCCCCCTCCCTCTCCCTTTTGCTTATTGAATAGGTGCTTTTTTTTTTTTTTTAAACTTTACCTTAGATTATTGTGATCATCTTATCCATAGCAACAAATAAAAATACACAGGTCTTGATTGAATGCCAAGGCTGCAGTTCAATCTAGGAAGGTTTGTCTGCTATTCATAAACTGCTTAAGATGTTTTCTTGTAGTTTGTGACATAAGCAGAACGCTTTGATTTGGTTTCTTTCTACAGCTCCATTTTCAGTCCGGGAGCACACATTACTCTGCGTACAAAACGATTGAACACCAGATTGCAATTCAGGTAGGAAATGCAAGAGATCCTGAAGCTTGAATTGTCAATATGTAGGTCTCTTGTGTCTTTTATTCTCTGCCCCTTCCCCCAATCTAGATGATGATGATGATGGTGTTGGTGGTGATGGGGATGATGGTGGTTGGTGATGGGGATGAAGATGGTGGTGATGATGATGGTGGTGATGGGGATGATAGTGATGATGATGGTGATGATAGTGATGATGATGATGGTGGTGATGGTGGTGATGATGGTGATGATGGGGGTGATGGTGGTGATGATGGTGGTGATGGGGATGATGGTGATGATGATGGTAGTGATGGGGATGATGGTGATGATGGTGGGGATGATGGTGGTGATATTGGTAGTGATGACAATGGTGGTGATGATGATGGTAGTGATGATGGTGGGGATGATGGTGATGATGGGGATGGTGGTGATGGGAACGATGGTGATGATGATGGTGGTGATGACGGTGGTGATGATGATGGTAGTGATGATGGTAGTGATGTTAATGGTGGTGATGGTGTTGGTGGTGATGGTGATGATGGTGCTGGTGGTGGTTGATTCAGTGGGGGAGGTGGGAAGCAAAGAAATGAGCAGAAACGCTACCAAAGTGATTTAAAGATTATGGAAAGAAAGAGGAGCCTGTGGTGGTTTTTGTTAGGTTTCTTGGTCAGGAGTAATGGGCACACACACCTCAGCTTGGCTCTTGTTTTTGGCTTAGGGAAGAATCTTCAATTGGGTGTGAGATGAGGTGGCCAACTGTGAACTGGAAGAATTGGGCAAGGGAGGGGGTGGAGAGGGAGAGGAGGTTGTGACAGCCAGAGAGTTGTTTCCGGTGGGCCCAAATCGTGTTAACTGGTGCTAAAAATATCGCTTTTGACCTGATCGTCCTGAAATGTTGATTTCTCTTGGACCTGTTGATATATGTCATTAAAAGTGCTGGAAGGGAGAGGTGACAGATCCCAGCTTCTGATGAGTGTCCTGTTTCCTGCTCACGTAGTACTTCCATTCTCTTAAATCCAAAGGCTAAACAAATCACGGACTAATATAGACTTGGAGCTGAACTGATGCCAGCAGAATGCAGTAGTGGAGGGAGAGCAGACTAATATAATTTTTGTCCGTCTGCCTTGCCTGGCTTTGCCAGGATGGATGTTACACATGGTGTAACTCATGGTACTGCAACTTCTTGAGTGTTCTGGTTTAACCCTTTGAAGAGAGGCTTTTGAAACCTGTTGCTATGATGTTGGAGTCTGGCTCTAGGTCTTCTCTTCTTGGAAGTTGATGTCAGTTGGTTGAATAATTTCTGTTGTTCCATTGCACTTTATCTTGTAGTCATCCCTGGCAGATCGTGTGTGTGTGTGTGTGTGTGTGTGTGTGCGTGTGTTTGGCTCACCAAACTAGAGCACATCACATCTTGGTAGCTCTGCTGTTTCAAATCTGCATCTTCCTGGATAAGACATAGCTACGTGCCCCAGCTAAACTGTGAATTCTTCCCCCAGTGAACAGTATGATCCTGCAGACATTTTTTGTTTGGAGGATCCCTAATATTTTTGTACTTACTTCAAGGCAACAGTAACTTATTTTTAAAATATTTTGTGTACATCTGCAGCATGCTGCCGATCTCTCTGTGTCTTTGAGGGGGAAAACGCAATCTTGATTTTTACCCCTTCACCCCAAATGTTTTCAAGCCTGATGTCTTGAACTCGCTGTGCATTTGTTCCTGCTGGCGCATTTCCTCGTGGACCCTTCTTCCTTTTGATTAGTGGCATAGTGAGCCTTGCTTCCAGAAACTGGTTAGATGGGGAGCAAGCCCAAGCCCCAAGTCTTGATGAGTGGAGGAAAGCACAGACAAGTGTCCTGAGGCCTGCTACGTCCAGTGGAGTGCTGGAAAATCCTGTTGCCCGGGGTGTGGGAATTGTTGAGGTTGAATAGCATAGTGATCCCTATCTTGGTGTGGAAATGCTGGCTGGGGCCATGTCACTGGGAGACCAGCCGAGACCAGAGCAGCTGTTGTGTCTTTACACCCGCTGCTGAAGCGTCCCTTGTTAGACCGAGCAGGTCGTCTTTCTCCAAACCACCTGGCACAGTGCAGGCCATGTGAAGCTCTTTCTCAGGAGGAAGATGGAGTAAATTACAGACCTCATTGTTTGGAGGACTGAAACCATTACTATCCCTCCATGAACAGGTAGTATTGTTCTCTCCTGATTCTGTTTGCGAAGGCTTGATGCCCATGGGGGCAAACAGAGAGACATTTTATTAGAGACCCAGCACTGGCATGCTCTCAGAGTTCATTTTCCCCCAATCTCTGCTGGACCGGGAGGAGGCCAAGCCAAATGGCATCTAGCTGTAATTGTAGTTTGATCATCAAAGGATAAGTGGCAGAAACCAGAAGAAGCAAAGGGAGAAAAGGGGAAATCTCGGACACAGAATTATTCCCCATGCATGTGGCAGCCTGAGTGCAGTGTGAGGCATAGAGATGAGGATGGTACTGCTTTGGGGTAGAACAGAGCTGATGTTTTCCCTTTGCATCCTTCTCCAGCATAAGGCTTACATGCAATGTGATTGTTGGGGCAGTAATTTTCTTTCCCTGGAAACTTAAAACTGCTTCACCTTAATAAATACTGTATTTCAATATGAGCTGAGCTTGTTGCTCTCCTAAGCTACATCCTAAAATAAACACGGGTAGTATGACACCTTGCATCACATGAGACCCATACCCCTTTCCTTTCCTTTCCCATCCCCTGCAGTCTCAGGCCTCGGCCAAGTTCACCATTTATATGAATGACCTCTGAGTGATTCTTTGGCCACGTCCTGTTCTTGGGAGAAGTTTGGGCACAGTATCTGTTGCCGTTTGGGGATCTCCCCCACTTTTGACAATTTCCGAACTCCTCTCAGCTTTGGAAAGACAAGAGCAACACAAATGGCCTTACTCTCCCTAAGCAGTTAGCACAAATCTAACTGGAATGACAATTAACAGACCTTAAAAGAAGAAAAAAAAAAGACATAGTTATTTGCCTCTACTGACTTTTAAAAAGTTTGACTGAACTATAATGTAAGCATAGCACAGAACACAGGTCTTTAATGGAGAGACGGATGGACTTTTACACCCGTGAGCGTGCATGAACCATCTCCCTGACCAATATATTGAGTGGAGTTGGAATAGTTTTTCTGTAAAGGGCCCGATAGTAAATATTTGAGGCTTTGCAGGCCGTATCGTCTCTATGGCAGTGACTCAACTCTGCCATTGTGGTGCAGAAGCAACTAAAAATAATACCTAAAGAAATAGATGTGGCCTTGTCCCAATAAAACTTTATTTATAAAATCAGACAATGGCTGGATTTGGCCCACAGGCTGTAGTTTGCTGGCCCCAGAGAGAATATTTCCAACTTCCCAGAAGTCTCGCTTGTTTCCCTCCTGTCCCAGTCATCTGCCTACCCCTTCTTCCGTGCTGCCCTCTCACCCCCACACCACTCTGAAATCTCACCACAGAACAGTTTTATCTATTGCCATGTGTTAGTTGTACCTGTTTTTTAGTTTCATTGAAATGGGATTGTACAGAATGGATTGTCTCATGTCTGGCCCCACTCAGCATTGTGTCTGAGTTATATTCCTGTGATTGTATGTAGCAAGAGTTTGCTTTTTTTTTTTTATTGCTATTAGTATTCAACAAGGAGTATGACACAATGCACACATCCTTTCTGTGTTATTGGATTTTTGGATTGCCTCCAATTTTCTGCTGTTACGAATAAGATCCTAGTAACATTCTCACCCCCATCCTTTGGAGGAATATGTGTGTCCATTTCTGTTCTTCATATCCAAGAGTGGCCTTGGGGAGACATGGGGTAGTGAGTGTTTAGCTTTGCATCTATCTTTTGAGAGGTTTGAATGCCGGATTTCAGGTGTCGTCACCAAAGTGCCCTTGGCTGAGTGGTCCTGGGTGTGTGGGTGATAACTGAGGAGGGGAGTGGTAAAGTGAGCTAGGTGTGGTCGGAGGCCAGTTCGCCCTCACACAGCCCCTTGGCTTTTGACTCCTCCCACTGTCTCCCAAAACCTGGGAAGGTTTTGCAGGCAGAATGCAGACCTGGACTCACACACTGTAGGTGCCTCCCAGAGAAGGTGGGTGAGTGTTTGGGCCTCCCTCTTGCCTCCCCGAAGACAGCTCTTTGGAGACGCCTGTACTCATCTTTATTCCAGCCTGAAGAGCAGTGTTGTAATCAAGGTCAAGACCCACAGAAGAGATTTCCCTTGGTTTTCAGAAGGGCTACTTCAGAACCAATTAAGCCTTTGTTTTAAGAGTATTTTGGCCAAAGGTTGATGTTTTAACACCAAGTCAGATGTGATTTAGGAAAAAATAACTCCACACACAGCAAAAACAAACTGTGTAGACCTTTCATGGTTGTTTTTCTTTTAAGATGTGAAGTGGTTTGTCCGTGTGTGTGCGCGTGCGTGTGCATGTGCATGCACACACACGCTTGTGTGTGTGCGCAGAGACAACCAGGAGAGGCTCCAGAAGAAATGGACCATTCCATTTGTTTACACAGCTGAGCTGCAGAGACTTTGCAGTGGGTGTTGCTCTGCCTCTTGTCCTCAGGCTTTTGCAAGTTCCCATCTGAGCTTTACCAAAGCATATCCCTTCTGCTTGGTCTTAGTGCTCACCTGCTGTGACTCAGTAAGGCCCCAAGGACCCTCCTCCAGGGCCAGGGGTGCTTTCTGAAGTCAAGGAGGCAAAGATAGAAACTTCAGAGTGTCCTGGCCCCCTTTTGGCCCCTTATTCCTCGATGTGAACTTGACGTTTAGTCTCGTCCATGTCTTAAAGTTGTTAAGATTCCAGACGTCCTGTGGGTTGCAGCCCACCTCCTTGTGTAGGTGGACCCTTGGCATTTGTGATAAAAATGGCCAGAGGTTAGTACCCGTGGACTTGGTCAGGGTGTTTGCAGTAACACAATCCCCGTGTCTGATGACGATCTCTTGTGTTCTGGGCCTGTCCTCTTGCCGTGGGTTCCACG